AGAGAGAGGCAGAACCAGATTGGACTCAGACAATCGCCCTGGAAGATACCCCTTCTTATCCTTATGTGGTTCTCCGCAGCCATCATCCGCTCGCCCAGATGACAAAGGATCGTACTCCACTGCCCCATACACTGCTCGAGGAAGTCTCTAACTGTACAGTCTATCTTGTACAGCTCGAGGACTCTCTTTAGCCATGTATGGGGCACCGAGTCGAATGCCTTTCTGTAGTCTATCCAGGCGGCGGAGAAGTTCCGACGGTTGCGTTTCACCACTTTGCCAATGACCGCGTCAATGAGGAGTGGTTCCTTGGTTCCACGACCACCGCCCCGACATCCATTTTGAGCGCGCGACATCACCTGATTTGAGTTCAGGTGACGAGTGATTCTCGCGCTCAAAATGGATGTTAGTGTCTTGTATATGGTCGGTAGACACGTGATGGGGCGGTATTTGCTCGGGTATGTGGTACCCTGGTCTTTAGGAACCAAATGAGTGATCCCAGTAGTGAAGAGGCTTGGGAGCGACTTCTGGTCGAGAGCCTCTTGAAACTGTCTTATTATTATTATTATGTGTGGGGTATCTATATAGTTTTCTCATCTGGTTGGGATGTATAAATATATAATTATAAACGAAAATGAAAAGATAAACATACAAAAATATCAATAAAATAAAATAAATATGAAAATACATAAATAAATAAAAGCCCAACCAGATGGAAGCCCTCGGCAGGGGAGACCAAACGGCCGAGGGTTAGGGGGAAAGGGAAAGAAACCGGCGGACGATGCGGGCGGTATCGAGGAGCACCGCCTTCTGCATTTGAGCCTGGAGCGATCCGCCACGTAGTCCCAGCCGCCTCAGATGACCCGAGAGGCTGACTGGGATTAGCCCGTTTGCAGAGACGACTACAGGAATAATTTCGGTCGGCAGACCACCCCACATGTCGGTCACCTCGTGAGCCAGGTCCAGATATTTTGTTTGCTTATCTGTTTCGACTTTCACGAGGTTCTCGTCATACGGAATGGTAATGTCGACCAAAAATATCCTTGACTGTGCCCGGTCCATCAGCACAATATCAGGCTTATTCGCAAGAATAGTCCTGTCTGTGATGATGGCCCGGTCCCAATAGAGCCTGGCGCGATCATTTTCGAGCACGGCTTCCGGCAAGTACTTGTAATACGGCAACTTCCGATCCACGAAACCGTATTTCAGAGCGAGCTCCTGGTGTAGAATTCTGGCTACTAGATTGTGCCTGTGCAAGTACTCAGAGTTAGAAAGCGCCGAACAACCGGAGATGACATGCCTAAGTGACTCAACGGGATGGCGACAAGCTCGACAGATGTCGATGGTGCCATCCTTTAGGGTGTATCTCCGATAGTTGTTGGTCTTAATAACCTGATCCTGTATTGCACAGACAAAACCCTCGGTTTCCCCCGAAGAGGTCACCAAAGCGTAGCCAGTGGAGAGAGGTTACTGTGTCTACGAAAGGCCCATGTAGAGACTTGTAGAACCTCCCGTGGAGCTCCTTCTCCTTCCATACGGTCTCCCGGTCGGAAATTGTCTGCACTGCCGGGTCTTGCCATTGCTCGTTGGCTAAGGATAGAGGGGTAAGTCCTTTATCACAAGAAATGACGTCATTATAGAATGGATCATCCGATCTCGCCAGGAAGTAATTACGGAGGCTGCACACTTCGCGATTATGCATGGTGAGCGCGCTCAAGAAGCCACGCCCACCATGCTTTCGCGGCAAGTACAGCCTCATTACCGACGATCTCGGATGATGCATCCTGTGGGACGTCATGGTAGTGCGGACTTTTCTATCCAGGGCGTTAAGTTCAGTCTGAGTCCACCTGAGTATGCCAAAGGTATACATGAGGACAGGTATGACCCAGCCGTTATATGCTTGTGTCTTATTCACACCGGACAAAAGGCTGTTAAGCACTTTGGTCAAGCGTGCATAAAACACGTCGCAAACTGACTGTTTCATACCAGCCTCAGCGATACCAATGGTCTGTGACATACCCAGGTATCGGTATGTTTCAGCCTCGGAAAGGGTCCTTAAGTTGACTTATTATTTTTATTATATTATTATTATTTTTTTTTTTCTTTCTCAAGATTTTGTAAAATCTTGGTTTTTAAGAGATGTTCACGGGCCTAAGCCAAGTGCGCATCCATTTGGGAATCAAAATCAAAAAAAAAAAATTATTATTATTATTATTATTATTATTGTGGGGTATCTATATAGTTTTCTCATCTGGTTGGGTTCTATAAATATATAATTATAAATGAGAATGAAAAGATAAATATACATAAATATCAATAACATAAAATAAATATAAAAATACTTAAATAAATAAAAGCCCAACCAGATGGAGGCCCTCGGCAGGGGAGACCAAACGGCCGAGGGTTAGGGGGAAAGGGAAAGAAACCAGCGGACGATGCGGGCGGTATCGAGGAGCACCGCCTTCTGAATTTGAGCCCGGAGCGGTCCGCCACGTAGTCCCAGTCGCCTCAGATGACCCGAGAGGCTGACTGGGATTAGCCCGTTTGCAGAGACGACTACAGGAATAATTTCGGTCGGCAGACCACCCCACATGTCGGTCACCTCGTGAGCCAGGTCCAGATATTTTGTTTGCTTGTCTGTTTCGGCTTTCACGAGGTTCTCGTCATACGGAATGGCAATGTCGACCAAAAATATCCTTGACTGTGCCCGGTCCATCAGCACAATATCAGGCTTATTCGCAAGAATAGTCCTGTCTGTGATGATGGCCCGGTCCCAGTAGAGCCTGGCGCGGTCATTTTCGAGCACGGCTTCCGGCAAGTACTTTTAATACGGCAATTTCCGGTCCACGAGACCATATTTCAGAGCGAGCTCCTGGTGTAGAATTCTGGCTACTAGGTTGTGCCTGTGCAAGTACTCAGAGTTAGAAAGCGCCGAACATCCGGAGATAACATGCCTAAGTGATTCACCGGGATGGCGACAAGCTCGACAGACGTCGACGGTGCCATCCTTTAGGATGTATCTCCGATAGTTGTTGGTCTTAATAACCTGATCCTGTATTGCACAGACAAAACCCTCGGTTTCCCCGAAGAGGTCACCGAAACGTAGCCAGTTGAGGGAGGCGACTGTATCTACGAAGGGCTCATGAAGAGCCCTGTAGTACCTCCCGTGGAGCTCCTTCTCCTTCCATACGGTCTCCCGGTCGGAAATGCTAAGCACTGCTGGGTCCTGCCATTGCTCGTGGGCTAAGGATAGAGGGGTAAGCCCTTTATCACTAGAAATGACGTCATTATAGAATGGATCATCCGATCTCGCCAGGAAGTAATCACGGAGGCTGCACACTTCGCGATTATGCATGGTGAGCGCGCTCATAAAACCACGCCCACCATGCTTTCGCGGCAAGTACAGCCTCATTACCGACGATCTCGGATGATGCATCCTATGGGACGTCATGGTAGTGCGGACTTTTCTATCCAGGGCGTTAAGTTCGGTCTGAGTCCACCTGACTATGCCAAAGGTATATATGAGGACAGGCATGACCCAACCGTTATATGCGTGTGTCTTATTCACACCGGACAAAAGGCTGTTAAGCACTTTGGTCAAGCGTGCATAAAACACGTCGCAAACTGACTGTTTCACACCAGCCTCATCGATACCGATGTTCTGTGACATACCCAGGTATCGGTATGTTTCAGCCTCGGAAAGGGTCTTTAAGTTGACGGGCATAGATAAATCTATGCCCTCAGAGTTAGCAACCCTTCCCCTTTCAACATGAAGGACCGCACACTTATCCGTCCCCAGCTCCATTCCAATGGAATTGCTAAATTCACAAGTGATGTTTAGCAATTCCATAAGATGGGAGCGACTGGAGGCGAATAACTTGAGGTCATCCATATAGAAAAGGTGGGTCACTTTTGTTCCTCCTTTCCGTAGCTGAAATCCTCTCCCGGAGCCCTCCAGTAAGGTACTGAGAGGGTTCAGAGAGAGGCAGAACCAGATTGGACTCAGACAATCGCCCTGGAAGATACCCCTTCTTATCCTTATGTGGTTCTCCGCAGCCATCATCCGCTCGCCCTGATAACAGAGGATCGTACTCCACTGCCCCATACACTGCTCGAGGAAGTCTCTAACTGTACAGTCAATCTTGTACAGCTCGAGGACCCTCTTTAGCCATGCATGGGGCACCGAGTCGAATGCTTTTCTGTAGTCTATCCAGGCGGCGGAGAAGTTCCGACGGTTGCGTTTTACCACTTTGCCAATGACCGCGTCAATGAGGAGTGGTTCCTTGGTTCCACGACCACCGCCCCGACATCCATTTTGAGCGCGTGACATCACCTTATTTAGCTCCAGGTGACGAGTGATTCTCGCGCTCAAAATGGATGTCAGTGTCTTATATATAGTGGGTAGACACGTGATGGGGCGGTATTTGCTCGGGTCTGTGGTATCCTGATCTTTAGGAACCAAGTGAGTGATCCCAGTAGTGAAGAGGCTCGGGAGCGACTTCTGATCGAGAGCCTCTTGATACTGTCGGGCGAGCACAGCGTGACACACTACGAACCCCTTCAGCCAGTAATGATGCAGTCCGTCGAGCCCCGGACTTTTCCAGTTCGGGGCCCTACGGACCGCCTCAGCCACGTCTTCAGGCGTTATGGTGACGGGGTCCATAGGCGTAACACTTGCACTCCGGCTCGCCACAACTTCCATCCAAGGGCCCTCGCTGTGGTTTACGGGCTCTGACCACAGGCCACGCCAAAATGCGACAGTGTCAGCCTGATCCGGTCCTGGGCCCGCTCCACATACCTCTGGTCGCTCCAATGATTTATAGAGCCTCTTCTGATCACTCTGGAAGAGACGATTTTGGTTGAACCGCCTTGACCTCTCGCTAAATCGTCGAATCCGCTTCCCCCAAGCAGCGATTTTTTGCTTCAGGTCATCTATGCGCTCCGTTAGTTTCTGCGTGATATCCGGCTGGGACAAACTAATATTTGTCCCAGCAAACGCCATTCTAACGGTGCGCACAACTCGGTCTATTATTACCCGACCTGAAGCTTGTCAGTCTGCCGATAAGGGCTCTTGCCTTTGCGATACGGTCCTCGATTCTTTTTCTCCAGGCTGGGATGGCACTACCTTGTTGAGTAGCACGTCCAGCCATGGGAAGTTTGGCGCCAATAATACGGCATACTGCCAGTGCGGCGCCAAAAAGAATAGAGTCCGTCTCGCAAAGGTCCCGGCTGGCTTCCAAATAGGTCACCAGCATTGGGTTAAGAGCCCGCACGACAGCCCGATTTCGCTTGCTAAGGGGTATGCGGGGAAGTCGCGGTCGATTTTCGAGAGGCATGCTGCGCGTTTCCAGCATCGACTCTTCCAATATGCTCCTCATTTTCTCTAGTTCGTGGGGGACTATTCCATCATCGTCTGAATCAACTACAAATGGAATATTGACGGCAGCGTCCACATTTGCAGTTTGCTGCGCAATTAGTGGCGCCGCATTCCCAGCCGTAGCATTTCCATCCGATGAGGGAACAGCCTCACGTCGTAGTCGTTCGAGTTCGGCGTCACCAAATATGTTGGAGCGCAGGATGTACCGAACTCGGTCTGCCAGGTTTTGCTCAGTGACGGATAGAGATGGCTCCAGCTCTGCAAAAAAGCGATGCATCCGAGCCCGATATGCCAAACATCCGGTTTCTTCCCCTTTTGCCCTAAAGTACGCCCGCAGTGCGTTTGCGTTCATTGTTTGTGACCAACGCATGCGACGTGCTCCACCAGCGGCGGGTGCCGCTTGCTGAGTCCGAGAAGACCCAGCCGACACCAAGCCTTCTGGTGGGGATGATGGATGCGGAGGGCTGCTAGGTGATCGTACAGCTCCTCGCGCTCGGCTGGCGGCCCGCATGCTGCCGCGTCCAGCGCCAGCTCCAGACGCGCCCCGGCGACCCCCAGGCAGCGGCCCTATGCGCGTTCCTCTTTGTACCATCATCCATTTATGGGCGCCAAATAACGTTATTTATATTATTATTATTATTATTATTATTATTATTATGGGGGTCATTGATAGAGTAATCACATCTGGTTGGGCTGGATAAATATATAAAAGGAAAAAATAAATATACATAAATATATATTTAATATACTAACATAAATAAATAAATAATACATAAATAAATAAAAGCCCAACAAGATGGAGGCCCTCGGCAGGGGAGACCAAACGGCCGAGGGTTAGGGGGAAAGGGAAAGAAACCGGCGGACGATGCGGGCGGTATGGAGGAGCACCGCCTTTTGCATTTGGGCCCGGAGCGGTCATTATTATTATTATTATTATTATATTTTTAGATGTATCCAGTTGTGGAAGATGATGAAATTAGTCATTTAATAAAGGTAGCTATTAATGGTGAAGATGGCGATGAGAGCGCAAAGCAGCACATGATAGAGTGAGTCAGAAGACAACTTAGAAATATAAGAACATCAACTGACTGATAGATAATGAAGAATACACAATTACGCCAAGTATCGTAAAATTATATAAATAGCGGTAAAGTAAAACATTGACTTTTAAGAAGAATTACTTGTAATCTATATTGAATAAAAAATTATTGTATTCTATTCTATTGTGGAAAGTTTTAACTCTGGTGTTAGTATTTTAGTGCAAAGGCGACACCGACATGTAAATCTGAAGATTTTATGCACATTGAAACTGACAAAATAGTCGACACAGAACACAATGTAATGATACCAGGGTTGTTATACCAAGAAAATAAATTATTCGAGGCAAAAATGGACAGAAATGGATCACGATGTCTAAACAGCTAAGAATGAGTAGCTACTTCTATAAATATCATACGTTTTGTTGAGAGGCCTCAAGGTGAAGCACTTTATATTCTAAAATCCTGTGAAATGTCCTCTTTATTTCATAGCAATTAAATACTTAATGAAGTAGTCAAATATACAATAGTGAAAATCTATTTACGAAATCCAGACTAGTCCAACATTGTGGCGAGATATCAAAGACCTCATAAAAATATCTTTGGTATTAAAGCTATTCTTTAATTGGCAAATACACAAGAATAAAATTCTAGAAAAACATGTACCCTATGACCGTCTAAGGATAGAAAAATGACAACATACTTTTGTATGAAATATAAAAGAGCTATATGTAGGGCATGCACTTTGAGTATTCAACCAACTGGAGAGGCCATGCGCGGCAATTTCTAAACAAAAATTCTGTCAACATCAGGGGGGCGCTAGATAAACACACAACTGTATACTTAACTACAAATGCAAAATTAAATCGTGTCACTATAAACGCACACTACAACATTTGTGTTTGTATTAATCGCGTTTACGCATACCATAAAATCGTACACGTGTCGATACACTGATAGCGCTGGCTGAATGCGTAAGCAACGTAGGGCGTGGACTATGTCGATATTTTTTATCGATAAACAAATCACCATAGTCCACACAAGTTTTTATTTGATTATAAGTAAAACATAGATAAATAATACCAAGGTCTTATTTGAAATTTTTTTTAAAGTATTTAAAAATGATCTTCGGAAAAAAACTTATAAATTATTGAAAGAAACTTTATATTATTTTGCTACAGGTTTATTTTATATTATGCAGGATAAAATTTAAAATACCTATTTAACAAACCAAAATAGGAGGTTTAGTTAACTCATTTTAAAAATTAGATTTAAGTCAAATTAATAGATTTAAGTAAAAAAAATCAGTGTTCACCAAGTTTTTGTTTTTATTATAAGGCTTCAACCACAAAACCACTATTTATAAAAAGTTGATGATTTTGGAGAGTTATTAAATGAACTATCTGGAAAATATTTAATAAATTAGGAAAATAAAAAAGTTTTACACTGTATAACAGTTGAACAAAGTGAACTTTAAATAGACAGCTGCTTAAAAATAAAATTTGACATCTACCTAGGGCTACGTATTCCCCAGAAGGATGTTTTGCTAAACTAATATACAATTGATGGCCGACGACTTGGCTACACAAAAAAAGCGTGAACTGTTTTAAAACTTAGACTAGAGAGTAACCCTGGCAAGAAATTGTATTGTATATTAGTGATAGATGAAATGAAAATAATAAAACACACACACACACACATACGCACGCAAATGTGTACATTATGTGATGTAAATTTCATTTATGTTATTTATTATTGTGTAGTCGGACAGTTGTTATGCAATATTTTTATTTTTATTTTTATTTTATTTTTTTTGTTTCTGCTCATTGTTTCTTTCTTTTTGTGAAACTTATTTTTTAAACAACTTTAATATATCCAAGTACTTTGTAATTAATATTATTAATTAGTAATTTTATTGATTGTAATATTATTAATTGTAAACTATAACAAGCGATAGTATTTACATTTATATAAAGTAGGAACCTGTTATTGGCATTATGTATTATTTGAGAAGTCTCGTCAATATTTATAACATGATGTTGGTTCTATGATCAATAAAGAAAAAAAGATGTTGCTGATGTCGTGTAATCACCACGATCACCCTAAAATAAATAATATTTTATTAATTTACTTACGTAAGTCAGGAGGTTTCAAGAAGAGACAAACCCGCATGGTTAACTAACTTATCGATAGCTAAAGTTGTGGCGTCCATTACTATAGTGCAATACTTTCGGTTGCAGTGATACCAGTTTATTTTTATAAAAATTGCACACTTTTGCTGCAAGTAGCAAGTTTCGATTTGACTTATTTGGCCTTTAATTTGTATAATATTTTGATAAATACTTGTCATCGATTATATTAAATTATATAATATTCAGTATCTTGTTGAAATTGTGTTGAATATATAAATCATTTCACAAAATCCACTACACATCTATATGTAGTGATTATTATTCATCACAAACTGATTTAGTTATTAGGAAATATATTTTCGTAAATATATGTAACTTGTGTACTAAATTATGTTTATTTAATGATAAAATTATTTTAACATTATGTTAAAAATACTCACAGGTGAAAAGTCACATTGTCCTTTTGTACACTTGATGTTTTTGATTGTCTTTTTTCGTGTAACTACACTGCAATTCGGCATTTTGTCGGAGCTCGATTTACTGGCACGATCATTTCGGAATGACGCTCAACGCGGAGCAACCACTTTTATATAACGAGTATGAGTCGGACTCTCGTACCTTTTACAGAGGGGTATGCCTTGCGATGCCGTCTCCTTTGGTTTAATATTCAAAGGGCGTACAACATAATATGTGTCCAAACTGTGTAGAGTTTAAAAAAATATGTACTATTTTTATTATTATTGTGTGATCTCATAAACCCAAATAATGTAACTGTAATCTATAAAATAATTAAAGCTTATAATTCTCAAATTCATTCTGTTTTATTTGCGTGTCGTATTTTTTAACATCACAAAGATGTTTACGGATGAGGACAAAGATGGAATGTCGCAGCCTGTAATCATACCGCCTCACTACACATACACAGACACTCCTAGGCAGAAAAGTATTATTATCACCTATCTCAATAACGAAGGCCACCCACATTATAATGGCATGATAGTCAGAATTCAAAAATATCTTACATTTACATGAATATGTCGCATTAAACAGAACAAATCTTACGGTTTTATCGCATATATTTTATCTTATTTTATGTAATTTGCTTGCAAGGTTTCGGTTGCTTTAAAGCAACCATCGTCACACGGAGTTGTGTTCGTGTGATAGTCAATGGTAAATTAAATTAAAATAAATACGTTAATATCCATTAAATTAGCGTTCAGTAGTGACAATACAAACATCTGCATTTTGATTCTTAATCGAGGATAAGTCTATCTATCTTAACGGCACCTATAAATTGAGCAGTGTTTGAGTATTTGGGCATTACTGTTTTTGCATTTTCTTAGTAACATTAAACAAAATCAGTGTTAGATTGTCGACAACAACGTTCGCGGTTTACAAAATAAGGAAATATTCTTCTCGTCGAATAAAGAAGTTACTCAGTATTGACCTATACGTAGTGCGCTATGTATTAGTACGGTAGTACCCGTCTAGTAGTAAACTTAAGGCGGCTACTCACTTGCCTGCCTCAGGGGCAATCTAGGGCAAAGAACGATCGGGGCAATATCAGAACTATCTCTACACATGCCTACCGTTCAGTATGAGAGTGCACGTCCCGCTACACACGCGACAGCGGCAGCTATGATCTAGGGAGCAGATAGATCTTGCACCCCTGCCATCCTGCCGCAGGACCGACTTAGAAAATTGTCCCTGTTTGCATACACACAATTAAGAGTCATCCCCACTTCTCCACCCTACATTGCCCCTTCGGCGGGCAAGTGAGTAGTTGTCTTTAGAAGCTTTTGAGTGTAGGTAAGAAGGTTATACCGTCATCCAAGAAATTAATGTATACGGTAGTTGTGAAGACTGGCGCATAAATTAGCCTAGTCGTTTCATGTACACAAATGGTCGACCCGCGTCCAAAATTTGAAACATGTTTCACTAGCAAATATTGCATAAAGTGTTATATTGTAATATTAAAATCAGTAACTACCAAACGGGGTGAATAAAAAACTCTATACATTAAGCTCTTTTAAATAATTTTATTTAATTAAAAGAACTCATAATAGATGATTAACGTAACAATAAAAAAACGGCTAATTTATGTTGCCATGGATGACACGATGACACGGGGATGACCGTGTCGGTATGAGTTGACTTTAAGTTTAGAATACAAGTAACGAATCTATTCTTGTTATTGTTAAGTCAAGGAAAATCTTGTTCAAATTCAAGCTTAAATTTAGTTTTGTCGTGGACTTTATTTTTTTAAAAAGAAAAACATCCCGTTATCTCCTTGTACCAGTCCAGCAAATAATTATGTCGTCTACGTATCGAAAATAATATAAGATATTTTGATTGACAATTATATGTTGGTTTTATAAATTATCCATGAAAATGTCCTCCATTAGTGGACTTAGAGGAGAACT